CTTGTGCGGTTGGTAGTGCTGTTGTTGTGATGGCTGTTGTACCTTATGTGGCTGTGTGTTTGTTGTTGTTGTCGTTGTTGGTGTTGTTGCGTGCGCGCGTGCGCGCGCGTGTGAGCGCGTGCGCGCATGTGTGTGTGCGCGCGAGAAAGTGCGTTTGAGCGTCTGTGCGTGTGCGTGTGCGTGTCGTTTTTGTGTGCGCGCGTGCGCGCGTGCGTGCGCGCGTGCGTGCGTGACAGCGTGAATGTGTGCGTGTGTGCGTGTATGTGCCCGTGTATGTATGTGTTTGTATATGCGTTGTGTTTGTGCGGGTGCGCGCCTGCGCGCGCGCGTGCGTGCGACAGCTACCGGCGTCGAGGTTCGATCCTCGATTTTCGGATCGAAGGCCCAGGATCCTCGAGTCGGTGATCCACGGATCTGAGATCCGAGGTGCTCGCAAATGCTCAAGACCAAGATCTCGAATCCTCGATCCGAGGATCGAGCCTGCTCGATGACAGTCTTGGCCCGAGGACGGCGACGAGGGATATCGACGATCGCCGAGGCTCGATCTTCGATCCTGGGATCGCGAACCCGAGATCTCCGAGTCCAAGCGCGGCGATGCTCGGATCTCGGATCCAAGGCGCTCGAAGATGTTCGGAACAAAAATCTCGGATCCTCGATCCGAGGATCGAGCATCCATGATGGCGGTCTGGGCCTGACGACGGCGACGGGGGCGGTCGACGATCGCCGAGGCTCGACGCTCGATCCTCGCACCGCGAACCCGAGATCTTCGAGTCCAAGCGCGGCGATCCTCGGATCTAGTATCCAAGGTGCTCGAAGATGCTTGGACTCAAGATCTCGGATCCTCGATCCGACGATGGAGGATCGAGCCTGCTTGATTGCTTGATGCTCTTCGAGGATCACTTTGCGAGAGGGGGGAGTAGTGCCCCGCAGCTTGGAACGCCACTCGCGTGTGCTCGAACGCTCGCTTGGAGCTTGAAAACATATGGGGCTCGAGCGTGTGCCTCGAGACGCTCGCGCGGCGCCCTCGTGGCGAAAACGGGAATAACATCCGATTCGAACGGGGAAAATACATATTCAGGGGGTCGAGGGGGGGTACTTTTATTCCCAGCCGAGGCTCTGCCTAGAAGAATTCTTACCCTGTGTGCTTAAAGGGCCGGGCAGTGCTAATCGCCCTGGGCGGTTCCCCCCGCATCCGCCCCGCGGTTCCCCCAGTTACGTCCCCTTAGCTTAGCGAGGCTTATATCATCTTAGCTTAGCTTATTTCGTCTTAGCTTGGCTCTGCTTCATCTTAGCTCAGGTTTACAATAGCTTAGCTTACCTTCATCTTAGTTTCGCTGAGCTTAAGCATAGCAGAGCACAGCATAGCACAGCATAGTTGCGGCTAAGTTTGGCTTAGCTTCATCTTAGCTCAGGTTTATCTTAACTTACCTTGCCTTCATCTTAGCTTCGCTGAGTTTTAGCATAGCAGAGCACAGCATAGCACAGCTCAGCATAGCATCGCGCAGCACCGCATATCATAGCATAGCCCAGTATATCATAGTACAGCGCAACATAGCATAGCATAGCGCAGCACAGCATAGCACAGCGCAGCATAGCATAGCACAGCGCAGCATAGCGCAGCTTAGCATAGTCTAGCATAGCATAGTATAGTTTAGCATAGCACAGCGCAGCATGACATAGCATAGCATAGCATATCTTAGTGTAGCATAGCGCAGCTTAGCATAGCAGAGCACGGCATAGCGCAGCATAGCATGGCATGGCATAGCATAGCAACTAATGCTGCTTTCCTAGGGGCTCCAACTTCTAGGTAGGGTCGCACTGGGATAATCCGGGGCAGGGGTTACCGAAGCCAGCGTGAACCCAGGAACACGGCCAGACATAACACAAAGCATCCTCCAAACACATAAAACCCGCCGCCGGCCAAGCCGAAAAACATTCGAGGGTACAATCCCCCAGGATGCACAACAACATTCAACAAACACGAAGAACATGTGGGCACCCTCTTCGAACCGACCTCGATCTTATGCCTCGGTACGGACCGTGCCCACTGGCCCACCGACTACTGGAAAACCTGCAATGCAAGGGGGGCGTGCGGCACGTAGGACCGACCGCCAGCAGACACAGGGGGAGCATGCAGAGGAGGTGGGAGCAGTGATAGAACCGGTAGTGTCTATTTAACAGGCACGCTACCGACAAACGTCGGCGGCGAACGAGCGGGGAAATTAAAAGAAACAAAACCCTCAAAGGCAGCAAGACTTCTCATTTTGGTCAAATACGAGGCGGGAGTCAGCCGGATTCGAGTAGGGGATCGACTACATGACTGATTCACCCTACAATTTCTTTTCTGTCGAATTCACAAGAAATATGTGACGGGCTCAGTTGATTTAGGGACCATTCTGCGTGTTGTTTGCAACGTTGGACAGAAAAATGAATTCTGGTTAAATAATATGTAATCGGTCCCCATACTCGAAAGATTGGTCAGGCCGAAGGAGGCCGGACGAGGCCAGGGCATGGCGGCCTTCGACCGCGGATGCACCTGCGCCAATCGGAGCAGAAAATCGACACCCAACCCGCCTTACAGCGCTCATGTATGCATGTACTTGGCAGGGCCAATGGGCGGCCCCGAAAGATACTCCGACGTCGCATCTTCATCGTCGGGAACGCCCGGTATGATGCGGACGGCCGCGCAGGCCACGCGCGCGGGACCGCAGAACCCCCCAAATTTCCGCATGAGAGCACGCCTCATCAAGCCGTTGCTTGCTGATTGAACCAGCCCACGGCTCTCGTCGCAGACACTGGAGTGGTGACGCAGCGACCGTGCGCTTTCTGCTCTAGGAATACGCCAGTATGTGGTGCCCCAAGCTAGGTGGGTGTATACCGCTTTCCTGAAACGCGTGCCATGTGTGTGGTCGTTGTGTTCATTTTCTGAAGGGTGTACACATGCGTTTGGGTGGGTGTGCATCATGTTTTTCTGCCAGGTTTGTTACACGCTCGCTGGCCCGCGGGAAAAAAACGAACTAGAAATGCCGCGTACTTGCGTGGGCCAGTTTCGCCCGTGCTGACGAGCACGAGCATCATCGTGAATGGCGGCGACCTTCATGGCAGTGCGGAAGCGCGAGAAATGCGGGACTACAGCGCAGGCGGCTTCCGCGAAGCGTCGGCAACTCGTCCAAGACATTCGCCGCGACCCCCCGCGCTCGGCACTCCGGGGCCCCGCGGCGAGCTTCGCGTCACACGTAATGGGAATATGCTGGCAGCTGTGCTGCGGGGTGGGTGTCGTAATCTTGCTCCGCGTGGCCTCCCAACAGATGCAGCCGAGCGCCATGGGGGCGCTGCCGCCCCTGTCGTCGTCGACTTCGTCGCCGTCCACGTCGGGGTCATCATCGTGGTCGTGGTTTGGCGGCGCGCACAGGGGGGCAAGGGGGGAGGGGGAAAGGCTTCTCAGAAGGAGGCAGCTTCGTAGTAGGCGCCGGCCCTGCATCTATAGGTAAGGCCCGCGCCTTCTAAGAAGCAGCCTCCTCCCAAGAAGCCTTCCCCACCTACCCCACTCTGCGCGTGGCCGAATCGTGGAGGCCGTCGTCTGGGTCCAGGGTCGTCGCCGTGGTCGTCATCGTCATTATGGTCGTGGTCGTGGTCGTGGTCGTCGCTGTCATGGTCGCCCTCGTCGTGATCGTGGCCGTCGTTGGCTCCCTTCCGAGCTGCGGCGTCGGAGCTGCCACTCGCCCGCCGGGTGGGCAGCTGGACGGGCTCGATCCCCACAAGGCGGTGGGCGCCGGGCCCGTTCGGTCGCGCCGAGCGGGCTCGATCCGAGCGCTTTCGGCTGCGTTCGGCGGGCGACTGGCGGCTCCGACGGGCCGAACGGGTTGCTCAGATCGGAGGGAGGACGCGTCGAGATGACGGCGGCGCTGACTGGCCACTTTTGTTTTTGTTGGGGGCCTCTCCTGGGGGCTGTTCGTCGCCACGGGCTGGAGCCGCCTCGAAGAACGGGCCAGGATGGACCATCAGAGAGGTCCGAGGAGGAGGAGGAGGGAGGAGGAGGAGGAGGAGGAGGGGGAGGAAAGCCATTTGGCCTTCAGCGGGCCAGCCGATCCCGATCGATCAATCGGGGTCGATCGGCGCCCGCCGCCCGCTCGATCGCGGTGGCAAGGAGCCGATCTCTCGGCCAGCCCGCGAGGCAGGGCTGAGGCGCGCCGCGCGCGCGGCCATCCCGCCGCCGCCGCGGCCGCGGCAGCGGCGCCCCCCAGGCAGAACGCCGAGGGGCTGGAGGTCCGAGCCAGAGCCAGCCTGGCACAGACGCTTGCGGGACAAGAGGGGGGACGCGAGGGTCCTCCTCAGGCTCGCAGCGGCCAAGAGGATCCTGGAGGAGCACCACTCGGCGCAGCAGCCCCAGCGCAACAAGCAGCACAACGTCGAGCAGCACATAGACGAGGAGATGACGACGAAGGCGCCATGGCAGAGCTGGCAGCGCAACAACACGAATTGCAAGACCAACACGAACAACTTCGAGACCAGCGAGATGGCGACCAGTACGAAATCCCTCGGCCACCCTGTGGGGGCCAAGCCGTGGCCATGGAGGTCAAGCACACCAGCATCTGGATCCTCGTACCGCCGACAACATGGAGGGCATGGACAACAGCAGCCACGGCACCAGCACCAGCACAACCAGCACCACCACACCTCCCACCACGACGAGGATCGACAGCAGCACAATGACGCCCAGCATCAGCAGCAGTACAAGTACGACATCATGACACCGAGAACGAAGCGGGCCCACTCAAGAAGACGCCACCAGGCCCCCGAAGACGCCACCAACGACCACCGACAGCTGCCGAAATTGACGAAACGTCAGTTGGAGGTCACCGAAAAGGTAATGCCCGCCTTGCTCTCGGATGCCAAGGGACACGAAAGTTTTTCTCTTCCTCCCGACGACCCAGACATACGTCGGGTTTGGCACGCCACCAAGGTGGCGCGGATGGCACGTCTCGCCGACCAAGTCCAAGGAGCATGGCAAGCCCAAGTCGACCCGACCCGCTTGATCGAGGAGCTAGCCATAGTCAAGACCATGATACACATGCTGGACACACCGACGGCGCGCATTGCACAATACAGATCCCAAGTGGAGTCACGGATACAGAGACAGCAGACCGTCGAGAGCCAGCTCAAAGACCTCGATAAGGAGCACAACGAAATCAAGGGCGAGATTGCATCCCTCAAGGCACTCATCTCCGAGGCCAAGCAGTATCGAGAACACGCCGAACTTTACGAAGACAGCTGTGACGGGGATGGTGAAGATGACGTGCGACAACGCATCAGGGGCAAGACACCACATCCCGAGAGAAGACAGCGAACACCAGCCCGACAATCGGTACATGAGCCAGCGCATGCTTCGATCACCAACGACAACGGCGACCTGCGGAAACTCATTGACGTGCTGACGAGGAGAGTGGACGAGCAGCAGCGTAACCACGGAATACACCAACACCATCTGGCGTTTCTCCATCATGAACGAGCTGAATCCGAACAACACGAAGCACAGCGTCAACGGCAGGCCGAGCAAATTCAGGAGCTTTCGCAACACCTACAGCACTGCCACGAACAACTTCAGCAGGCACAAATTCTGCAGCGACAATCGTACTACGACGAGATCCAAGCCTTCCGACAACGCGAGGAGCGGCTCCGACACGAGGCTCACGAATCCATCACGGAGAACATGGCTCACTACCAGCAGAAGGAGGCATACCTGCGCGACCAGCTCAGGGAGGAGGAGTCAGCTCACCTCGCCACTTGCATCATCCAGAGGAGGCAAGAGGAAGAGACCTTCCGGCACCAGCTACAGGAGAATGCTGAAATCATGGTCAAACAATATCAACAACGATGCCACGAACAACAGCAGCGTCTTATCTCCGAGAAAGCTCAGGCTCAGCAGGACATCAGCAACATCGCGAGGCTTGAACAGAACCAGCTACAGGATGCTAAGGAGCTACTTTTGGAGGAGTTCGGACAAGTCCAGGCTCAGAAGTACCGCACCATGATGGCCCAGAGCGAGTACAACAGCGAGATCGACAAGCTTCGAGGCTCTTCCCATGACATGCAGCGCTTCGAGAACGAACTCCAGGAGCAGCACCGACTCCAACTACAGGAGCACCTTCAGCAACACAGACAGGAGCGCGAGCGACTGCACTGCGAACTGCAGCAGGCTCAAGAGTTCGGCACCAGCATCGACGTGGACATCCTCAGGGAGCTCGACACACAACTCCAAGAACGAGACGAGGAAGACGCACGACTGCAAGCCCAAGCAGACGCTGAGCAAGCACACGTCGACAAACAGATTCAAGCGGCACTCGACCTGCTGACCCCACCGTCTTCATCGGATGACTCGGGCTATCAATTCTACCTCAGAAACCGCGGCAGCAGCAGCGGAGGACAGCCCAGCAACAGCGGACAGCGCAGAAACACACCACCACCACGACCGACACCTGCTACGCCTACCGCCACTCCCACTGCGCGACGCCCATGCCACGACGCCGACGAAGCCAGCGTACACACCCCAATCCCCGCCGACGACGACGACCTTTGCAGCCCAACCCCAGTTGCGAGCGACGCTTATCCCTTCCCTGTCCCGACGCCACTACCCACCCCTGCCTCGCATACGCCGATCCCCACCGAGCAGCCTACGCCCACCGACTTCCGCCCACCCGACCCGCAGAAGGACCGACCCAGTTCAGCGCCACCACCACTCACCAGAAGGACAGACTCAACTCAGCACAACCACCCATCCACTACTCTACTCATTGACATCACTTCCGACGACGAAGCACCACCACCTTCCACCCCAGTGCGCATTCCACTAGCCGACATTTCCCCTACCGCACCGATGCAGCCAATCCAACCGCCGCCCCGCTTCCACCTCGCCACGCCCGACCGCGCCACATCGGCTCCTCCGCCCCGCACAGCTCTCCGAAAAAACGGATCATCTAGACGAGCGGCCAAGCCCAAGAAAGTCCGTATATGCGACATCGGAAACGGATTCGCAGACCCAGGAGACCGAGTGCCAACCTTCCTCAACGACGAGGAAGGCCCCGCGGTCAACTCACCAAAAAACTAACGAGGCCCTCACCCCCTGGGGGGCAACTGGCCCAGGGGGAGCGGCCCAGCATCACACCAGAAGACTGCCTGCGCAACGACGGCAATTCCGACTCCTGCAGTGGTTACGCCGACGACGTCAGGCGCCGACTATTCGAGCCCCTGGCGAGCTCCGATCCACCATACGACACTTCACAAGTTTCACCTACCATCTCATCAGACAATGGCGGCATGCGCGTCGGGGAGAGCGCACCTCCAGATTCTTACGAGCATGGCGACATGTGGGAAATCCACACACCGCCCAACACGCTACAGCCTAGTAGTGGACCGTGGACCATCCCCTCGGCCTCTACCTCTCGCTTGGGGAGCGCGAGAAGGCTGTCTCACACAGATCCTACACGAGTACCGCATACGCTAGCGGACCGACCAACTACGGCAACCCGACCTCGACGGCAGCATGTCGACTCACATCCTCCACCAGCGGAAGCCCAGTCACGGTCGTTCCCGACGATGACGACGCCACCGCCCACGCCTCGAGAGGAAGCATCGCTTTGTGAGGACGACACGAGGGGGGAGACCTCCCTTGGCTGCGGCCGTCTGTGGCAAGAACGACAAGAGCCACCAACAAGGAATCGACGTACTAGCCATTTTGGCCAAGATGGCGATCGAGACCGACAATTTTGTGACCAATCGAGCCGGCCATGTACATCAACTTCTTGCCGGCCACAACCTCCTATTTTTGACTCCCTTGACGTTGCACAGATCCCACACGGACAGACCAACCTGCCGAATGCGGATAGCCACGAGGCAGTACGACATGTTCGTTTCTCCCGCGAGGTTCACACCCGCGACCAGCAGACCGACAACATCCTCTACCACATCGACTTCGACGAACAGGAGCCCTTACTCCAGCACCTCCGACGACTTCAGGCCCCCAGGCTTACCTTCGACTTTACTGACCGTTGCCACAACGAGGTTTCAGATTACATGGTGCGAACATTTCCATACCGACAGCTCTCACGAGATTCTCGCCTGCATTTATACACCGACGGCTCCAAACACCCACGACAACATGGTCAAGACGGATGGTCAGTTGTACTCGTCGGAGAAGATGAAGAAGGTTTCTCTTTTCAAGGCGCAATAGTTGGCAAGCACCGCGACTCCACCCTCGTAGAGATACAAAACCTCACGGACAACGAGACCACCTCGACATCCAGCGAGATCACCGCGCTCATCTGGGCGATCGCCTACATCATCCACAAGAACATCAACCAGAGTATCTCGGTCCACTCCGACTCGCTGGGAGCGATCCAACTAGCCAGGATGGAGGCCTTTACCAATCGAGACGTCCACCTCGTGCAGCTACTGGTGATCATGTATTCGCACGTCAAGGAATACGTCGACCTGCGTCATGTTCACGCCCACGAGATGAACCCTTGGAATGAAGTTGCCGACGCCGCGGCCAACTACGCCCGCATTGAGGACTACCCGCACCCACAACCTGAATGGGCTAACATACTCAACGCGTCCCCTCAGCGCAGCTGGGAATTCCTACTTGATGCCGACAACCACACCAAAGACGCTTACCCATCCTTCTTACCTGGAATGCTCAAGGCCCAACGCATCGATACCACGGCAACGACAGCCCACCTTTCGACACCAGACAAGTCCACGAAGACCTTGACCGAGATAGACATCAATATCGCCACCTACAACATCCAGTCAGGGCGCGAACCCAGTCAAGGTGCTCGACGGCGAAAAGAAAAGATCCACAAGCTCAGAAAGACTATGCTCAACCTGTACATGGAGGACCTCCACCTGATCGGCATACAGGAAGCCCGCACGCCTTGGGGAGTTCGCAGCGGCAACGACATCACCAGCACGAGTGCGTACGCCTACCACGTCATCTCAGGGGGCCACGACCAGTACAACCTGGGATGCGAGCTCCACATACTCACCAGCAAGCCGTACGGAAAGGCAGGTGCCAAGGACCTCTATTTCCGCCCCGACCAGTTCACCGTCATCGAGCACAGCCCTCGACATCTCGTAGTAAGGATCGAAGCCCCAGGCTTCCGACATACAGTCTGCGTCGCCCATGCACCCCACTCACGAGCCAAGCCACACGAGAAGGACATCTTCTGGGAGATGATCGAGTGCGCAACTTCTAACCACAATATAAACATCTTCTTCATCGACGCCAACGCTCGGACGGGCAGCTTATCCAGCCAGGCAATCGGCGATCAAGGCCTCAAGCAAAAGGAGGACGACAACGGCGAACGCTTCCACAAGGTCCTGCAAGGTAATTCTCTCATAGCCGCGAATACCTTCAAGAGCGGCGGCCAGGACCACTACACATGGGATTCAGGCAAGGACGTGCACAGACTGGACTACATAGTGGTTGGCCACGAGCTCTTTGACTCCATCTCCTACACGTCCGTAATGTACGGCATCGACACAGAACACGACCACACACACAAGAACGACCACTTCCCTGTCAAGGCTAACCTCGCATACATCGTCGAGACCACATACCAGCACGGCACGCCCAAGCTCGACATCGCTAAGCTCGACTCCGAGACAGCCAAGAACGACTTCCAACGACGACTGCAGCAAATCCAACACCCCACTTGGGAGACCAACATCAACGACCACACTAAGAGCATCGTCGATCAGATAAAGGACGCAGCCTACGCCAGCTTCAAGAAGCAGCACCATGCCCCCCGCAAGCCCTACATTACCGAGGCCTCCTATGCGCTTCTTCGATTTCGACGCACCCTCCTCAAGACGATCCGCATCGTGAAAAGGAATGGCATTGGCTCCAAGAAATCACGAAGAAGGATCCGATACACCGCGCACCTCATCGCAAACCAGTCGGCTTCAGCGTCCCCTGACGACGTCATCCACCTCATGGACCTCCCTGGATACACTCAGCTGATGATCAAGACCATCCTCTTCATCAACCACGCGGACCCAGACCACGCCACGGCTCCATACCACGACAGCACCTACGGCACAACCACCTTCACTACAAACCTTTTCGACTCATACATGAGCTTCATCAAAGATACCGACCGTGTTCTTAGAAACCGCCTCGACCACGACCGCGACGCCCACCTCGAGCGCCTATCCGACAACATGATACTATCAGCCGCAGGGAACGCCCCGCGGAAGGAATGGGCAAACGTGAGGGCACTACTCACATACGGCGGACGCACACCAAAGAGAACTCCGACTCCCAAAATACGCCAAGACGATGACGGCGCTCCACTCACAACGCCACAAGTCATTGCGGAGCACGCCCTTCGATACTACGGCAACATCGAGAACGGCATCAACACCGACATCGAAGGCGTCGTCAAGCACTACAACGACAAGACTGCCCACACCAAGCCGATACCCAACATCGACAACGTACAGACCATCCACAACCTGACAGCCGCCCTGGCAGCCGCCAAGAAAGGCAAACGCGGAGGGCCCGACGGGAACACCGATGACATGGCACGAGCAGCGCCGCGCCAGATTGCCCGACTTCTGCACCCCATCATGATGAAGATGCAACTGATGACGACGGAGCCTATTTCGGCGAAGGGCGGCTTCTCCACCCATTTCTCCAAAGGACAAGGACAGCTTCATCTGCAGAAGGCATACAGGGGCATCCTTCTGAACAACACTATTGGCAAGATCAACAGCAAGTTCCTGAGAAGCCTCTTCCGCGACATCTTACCCGACCTGCTCATGGACACACAATGCGGCGCAGTCCCTCACAAGGCGACTGACTTCATCACTCACACCGCCTACACCTTCTTGGACGACTGCCGTACGCAGGGTCGCACGGGCAGCATCCTCTTCCTGGACTTGAAGGAAGCCTTCCACTCGGTAATAAGGGAGTTTATTTTTCAGCTGCCGACTCAGGAGGACGAGCTCGAAGATGTCATCGACAACATCGAGATCCCCATATGCCTCCTCCCCTCCCTACGACAACGTCTTCGATGCCCTGCACATCTCAACGCCCACGTCGACGACTCCCACCTATGCGCCCTCGTTGCCGACCACCACACGGCCAACTGGATGACCGCCAAGGGCACCGACGCATGCGTGATCCCTCGCACCAGTACCAGGCCAGGGGTGCCATACTCCGACGCGGCTTTCAACATG